CTGTGCCCTTTGATCTGCACTATTATCCACTGCAGTCACTTTACAACCATCTTGGGCTCCAGGAAAGAAGAATTCATAGATAAAAGCAATGCCATCTTCTTATCATCTTTTTTTTTTAATAGTCAAAAGTTAAGGAGACCGCTCTCCAGACCACCGCCCCCCACACCGGTTCCCCTTCAGTGGTGAAGGCTAACTTGTCTGGAACTCCTCAGAAATAAAGGCTGAGCTAATGGGCAACCTGTGACTAGAGACTGTTGTAACTCTGCATATTTTTCATACCCCTAACCCCTGAAGTAAAGGCTTCGGTAGCACTCACTTCAAAACTGTTTCAGCATCTCTCACAACCCACTTCCGCATTTTCAGCTATTTGTTAGAGAAGTCTTTCCAATATCTTTGCACTGATTATCTGTCTTGCTCTGTTTTAAGTGGCAAAAGCAAATTATCTGAGACTGAGTATGTTGAAAATAATGGAAAATTGTGAAACTTCATGCTGTTTCATCCTATAGTGGAAGTCAGGAGGCAAGAAAGGGCAAAAGAGGACTGAACACATTTCCAATACTTGCACTGAGGATTGTTTCTGAGACATGACCTGTATGTGACACATTCAAACCACACCAAAATAATCAATTTAAAGCCCACATTCAAAAGTGGTACTCAAAACCTACACTCTGGCTGCAGTCTCTATAAAAGGGTTTGCAAACTCTAGGGACCAGACCACTATCACAAATGCAGAAAGTTATTGAATGTGACACAGTGGGAGTAGTGGGAAGAAGATAGCTTGTTCTTCCCAAATGAATTCATCGTCTACAAATTCAGCTGGCCCGAGAGAACAGGTTGACCTTTGGTCTGCTATGAGTTACATTGGCCACCATGGTTCAGCTGGAGCTACAATGACCCTTGGGAGCCTTCAATCAATCTGACCTTGCATAATCCCTCTTCAGTAAATCTCTCAATAGCTCAAGCCCCAGTCATGGTTTGGTTTGGTTTTACATTGTTTCAATACTGAATCTGGAAAAATATAACTCAGCCTGGAAGTTGCTGGTAGCCCTGGCTGAAGTTGATTTTGAAATTCTATTGTCTCGGCCTCACAGATGATGAATGTTTATTTTAAGAAATTAGAAAATAACTGAGTGTTTCACTATGGAACTATCAGGTTTAACAAATCTTTCACAAGGAGTTAATTTTGTTATTTATTTTGATCAATTAAGTAAAAATAAACCCCAAGCAAACCAAACTCCTTTGCATCGCTAATCAATACTCAGAGAGAGAAGTGTGCATGAATTTTGCTCCTATAAGTAAAAAATGAATCCTTTTTTAACAGACTAACATGATTAACAGAAAAAAAAAACAACAACAAAAAACTCTGACCGTAAGTCTACCGGAATTTCTACTATTTACTTGGAATGAGGATATGGTGATTTCTTAAGCACAGGAGTTGAGAACCTGGCTCACCAGGAAGGAATGTTTGAACTGACTCATAAACACAGGAATATTCCCATGTTATCACTAACAGCTTGATATCCAGCCAGAAGAAAAGTGCTTTTCCTTACCAAGACTGGTAAAGATTAATAGAATTGATCTGAAACCAAAGGAGGCATGTGCATGATGATCTAACAAAGAACAGGTGAGAGACATCACCACTGGTTGCAATTTCTTATCAGAGAAAGCAGATGGGACTGGCGACTGCCTGTCTCACCTGCCTACCAGACTTGCTCTCAGAGGAGCTTCTGGCCCTGGCTACTGGGTTTTCTCAGAGAACTACTTCCACTGATGCTATCTTTTATACAAAATGATAAAATTTTACTAAATCACTCAACAAATATATACCAAGTACATATTCTATGATCAATATTCTAGGATCTTGAGAGAAAGAGAGAGAGAGAGAGAGAAAGAGAGAGAGAGAGAGAGAGAGAGAGAGAGAGAGCTATGAATGATATACATTAGTCAAGAACTATCTATTTAGTATATATCCAGAGGGAGAAGCAACTTGCTCAGAAAATGTTATTATAAAGCAAAAGATGCTAAGCAAGGGCCACTGTAAGCTCTCCCAGCAGATGAATTCTGGTGGCTAAACCCATAGCTCCACAGACTATAGTAAACATGGCTTCAATTTTCATTTAAGTTAGTGAAAAACAATGATTCACTTTTCAAAAGCATTCTTTCTACATAAACCTTTTTGGATGATATGCCTACAAAGTGAGGTTGTTTTCTACCTTCCTAGAAGACACAGGTTAATCCCACACATTTGATGTATTAGCATGTGTCTGACTTTAATGAGTCAAGGGGTCTGGAATGCAAACTTTGTGCTCCTCGAGGAGACAATTTGATGAAAGCAAGATTTAATTCCCCAGAGCTGATCCAGCTTCATGTCAAGAGAATGAGAAAATACTGGTTTTTGCCGCACTACCTTTTCAGGAAAGGAAGGCCATACGAGATCCCTGGGCAGGGCATGTACTCCCCAGAGATCATCCTGCATTGACCTTGCAGTCATCCCACCTTCTGAGGACTGTCTCCTCCCCTTCCAAGTCAAGGGCTCAAAGCTAGGTGCTGAGTGCTGGAAGCGGGGACTGAGGTGTTGGGAAATTTAATTAGAATGTGTGAAACAAAATGGGCTTCTGGCTTAAAGCTAGTCTAGAGTGTGAAGAATAATGATTGCTTCTTGAGAACTCCCATTTCCCAAGAATGAACACGCTGGGGAAAGATGAGCTGCTTACGCTTTTTTTGTTGTTGTTGTTGCTCCCCGTTTCCTTTTTAATATATATTTTTCAAGTGTTCTGCTGGTAAGTCGCCTATAGATTTTGCTAATAAACTTTTGCCATTATCAAAAGGAACAAATCTCCTGGTATCTTCATCCAACCACAGCAAGCACTTGCTTGACTATGGAGAAAAATAGTTTATAGATCTGCAGTAAACATGCCATCTTTTACGTTTAGACTCCACATTTGGTGATAAAAATTTTACAACCGAGGAAGTTTTATTTAGTTTGATTTATTAAGGCTTCTATGGAATCCTTCTCAATTTGAGAGATGAGCAGAGAGCACAAACAGGAAGTGAACTTGAGGCTTGAGGCCCTGCACGATTGGAGCCCACAGTCCTGAACAGAGGAATGCAGACTTCACTGCAGACACAAGAACAGAGGAACACAACTACTAATAATGCAAATTATGGCGAGTTCTGAAGCAGAGGAACTTCAGTGGTAGGTCTAGGGCAAGCTTTTCAGAGCAAGGATTTGGGCTGTACTTTAAAAGTATAAGGACTCGCAGAAATGCAGATGGTAGGAAAGCATTCCAGGCAGAAGAAAGCAGATGAAGAAAAAGATAAAAATGTGTTGGGGGGGGGGACACATTTGCAGGCATGGAACTTCAGTACATAGAGGCTGACACAGGAAAGACCAGTGTTATGGAAAGGAAATCCTCTCTGAAGGGAAGTGGTGGTGCTCCCTGAGGGCACCCCCGGGCAGCTGTTGAGTATAACATTGCCACTATCTGGGTTGAGCTTCAGAAAAATAATTGGAAAAGGATGGAGGATGAAATGAGGGAGAAGAGAGAGCGGATACAACTGTCAGGTTCAAGTATGAGATGAGAAAGATAGGACTAAGCAGAGAAGAAAATAAGCACCACAGTCAGGAACAGACAGCCATGAGTCACTGCTCAAGCAATGATAATGCCAGTTTGAAGTGTGAGGAAGAAGCAGGAGAGCGACATGGAAAGGAAGGAGACGGAGGGGGATGGAATGGACTAGAGCCTCAGTGGATAAACACAGCTGTAGAGGTTCAGCACAACCAACAGAAAATTATACCTGAAAAGCTGAAAATTGATTCTGTGTTGGATTACATGCATCCCTTTTTACAAAGACACTTTAAAGGTGATGGCTAAGGGGGAGAGTTGGAGCACCCTGACACTATCTTGGACAAAATTTGCCAAAGGAAACATTTGGAAATACAATTCTTTTAGATGGCTTCTAAATGTTCTGTCTTTCCATATCACAGTGCAAGGATCCACATCGCTCTTGCCAATAACCACACGTGCTCTCCAGGAGAAATGGGCCCCAAATTAATTTCTCAATTCCTTTCGAAGGACAGTGAGTAGCAGCAAGGAAAATGCTTGGCACTGAGTAATAGCAGGACTGCAGACAGGAGAAAATGCTGTTTGTTTATTTATTTATTTTTGCCAATACCAGAGCTTAAACTCAGGACCTCAGTGTTGTCCCTTAGTTTTTATGTCAGGCTAGTGTGCTACAACCTGAGCCACACCTCCACTTCTGACTTTTGCTGGTTAACCAGAGATAAAGAGTCTCAGGGGTTTTTCTGCCCAGGCTGACTTTGAACCTTGATCTTCATATCTCAGCCTCCTGAGTAGCTAGGACTACAGGTATGATCCCCAATATCTAGTCTCCTACTTTTTTATACAAGTATATGTGCTGATCCTGAGGCTTGAACTCAAGTCCTAGGCACTATGCCTCAGCTTTTTTTGCTCAAGGCTAGCACTCTACCATTTGAGCCACACCTCCACTTTTTTGTGTGTGTGATTCATTAGAGACAAATGTCTCATAGACTTTCCTGTCCCAAGGGCTGACTTTGAACCATAATCCTCAGATCTCAGATCTAGCTAGGATTATTGGCATAAGCCACTGGTACCTAGCTTTCTATTTATTTTTTTGTTTCCAACTCTGCTGGAAGAGACACACAGACATGGAAAGAAGCTGTCCACTATGGCAGTGCCCCACTGTTCTTTTCTTGTAACTTCACACACTATTCCAACCAGGTTGTCTGTTTGCTTTTAAAAAGTGAACAAATTGGCCATCATTCTTTGATCCTTATTTGACACTTAAATAGAATCACAAATTGAGGGGCCACCAAGACCAGCTACGTTAGGAAGTCCAAAATTAGAATCAGGGTCAAGGCAAGCTCTCTACCATGACAGTAATAGTTAAAAGCTGCCCCCACTGCCCCCACGGACAAATGACAGGGTAAGTGTTTATTCACATTTAGGTTCACCTACCTCAAACTCCAGATAGTGATCTTTCAGCTTGTATTCATCCACATCCTTGGCTTTGACCTTCTTGTCAGGAGGATATGAGCGGTGCTCAGCCAGCTCTGTGGTAATCTGCTTCAGTTTGCTTTCATGAGACTTCAGCTGTTCCTCCTGTAGGAAATGACTAAGCCACTCAGAGTGCACAAAGGGAATTGATAAACAAAGTAGCAGATTTTCAAGAATCCCTTATGGGGAATGACTTTAATCCATCAAAAGTCCTGCGGCTCTGCTGCTACACCATTCTGACCAATAGATGCAGCCATTGCTTCTTCATGCTTTCCTAGGAAGGCCACTGAGACCAGCCTCCATAATCAGGCCCCTTACCACAAATACTAAATGGCTTCAGAGCCTTCTATTAGCTAAACTGTCACCCAGTTGGGACCAAGACTCTCTCCCTTTTTTAAATTATCTTTAAGGAATGGTACAGACGTATCAGTTTGGGAATACACGTATCTTGAGAGAAACTCTTAACAGGCATGTCACCAGGTGAGCAATTATGCTCCTAGCCTTAGAGCCATGTAAGTTACTTCACCAATTCATGCTCACTCAGCAATGCTGCTAGTCAACTGTCTACCCATCACAATGTATTTGTCTTCATATCATGTTTTCCCTTTGGAAATAATACATGAAATCTATCAGGTATTATTCTAAAAAGAGCAAAATACAGCTGTTTCTTTTCTCCAAGTAGCAGAGATTTTGCACTTCAATTCCACTGACTTCCGGTTTTCCCTGAGTTAAAATGTACCCATTGATTATCATCACAACAGCATTAATACAAGTACTGGGCAACAGGACCATGAACAACTGATTCCGTGTCAGGAGAAATCCATTAGCATAAGTCACTTTCCTGCAGTAGTTTGAAAAACATACTTGAAACAAAGATGTATGAATTCTCTTGTATTCCTAAAATTGTATACAGCTTATTATTCTTTTTCCCGTACAAATTATCCAAAATCTTGACTATAAATTTCATCTTTATAGCACAAAATATATAGATAAAGCTAAACAAAGAGAAGCTGATTAAAATATACATACATACATATATACCTGTTCTACAAAAATTCTCATATCCTATAATTGTGCCTAAAAGTTCTAAGGTATTTTTGGGGGGAGAGGGGGTTATTCCTTAGGCACTGAGAAAGTTTTTAAACTCTAAGAACTATGAAATATTACTATTTGGGTTGACAGTAAGACATAGTATATTTTATTTACAAAATATTGGAGGATATCTACTCAAATATTTAATATTGATGAAGAAAATGAACAAAATATTAGAAAATGAATCTAGGTAAGCATGACAAAAAGCTAGAGTAAGGAGCAGGAGCAAGAGCAGAATGTGAAGGAAATTGATGAGATAAAGTGACGGAACTTTGGGGTAGAATGTGCAGGACACAGTAGAGTGGAGGTGGGGTAGGGTGTGGTTTTGGCCCATGAAGGAGTCAATCCCAAGAATGACTTCTTCTGAATGCCGCCCTCCCAATGCTGCTCTTCCTCTGCCCTTGACACTACTGGCTGGGCCTACATTAATGCGAGAAGCAGGCACCTAACTTCCCTCTGATCACTATATAGCTGGACTCATTGCAATGTTCAGCATTTATTATTTACTGATTATCCATTCACTCAAACTTCTGCAAGAGAATGGCTGGAATTCAAAGGACTGAGAACTGAACATGAGGACTGACCCCATGAGGTAAAAGTAAGTAGAGAAGCATGGAAAGGCTTGAGAGAGCAGAGAATGCTGTATAGTGTGTCTACGAATGACCGGCTCCAGCTCTGGGCCACTCACCTGGCTTATAAGGAACTCTTGGTACAGACTGGATCTAAACCCCTTGGTGGAGCTGTGAATGAGGCATGTTGCACAAGTCCTAGGATAATCCTTATGCATATTCAAGCCTGAAAATAGTTTTCTTGGTGGTTATAAAAGCAGACCCTGAATAGATCCTAAAGGGGGCCAACCATGAAATTCTACATTTGGAGAGCTCTACTAGAAGGGAGAAAACAAGTTGAATTTCAACGTAGTATCTTCACCCACAACAGAAGACAAATGTGCTCTGACAACACTGTCATGAAAAACAAGTAGAAAAGGTGACTCCTACACAGCAGAGCTGTTCAGGAAGAACCATGCCACACTGACAATGATCAATTTTAATAATTGAGGCTAATAAGCTTTGGAGAGAAGACAAGAATAAATTAAAGCAAAGCTCACAAAGGACAGGGTGACAAACAATGTGTCTTAAAAGTACCAAACAATCTTTTAATTGAATATTTAATTTTCTCTTCACATTGTTTATCTTTTTTCCTCAGCAGGGCACTCATATTGCTGTAATAGTTTATAAATGGAAATTGCCCAAGAGGTTCTGGTATTTAGGAGAGTCATGGGCAGGTTGTAGGTTGGTGGAGAAACGAAAGATGGTCAGTCTGAGAGATCCAGAAGAGAGATCCTGGGTTAAAAGCAGTGGGTCTCAACAGTAGGGGTGGATCTGACCCCACAGGACATCTGGCAATGTCCAATTCTATTTATTACCTTTGAAAAATAAATGCCATTCTTCCCTGTAAGCTGAAATAGATTGGTCCTTTCTACTGCTAAGTTTTTTAGTTAATATATAACTAAATTTCATGGCAATAGTAATGTAACATAGCAAGGATCCAAAATATTAATACAAATCAGCATGAAGAAAATAGGAAACCATGTCAACTCTCTTCCTACTACTCATAACTTATAGTAAGACTCATTCCTCACTCCTTTCCATTCTGTAGTCAAGGAACTAACATGTTTCTATTCCCACAATTCTAACCCAAACTGCTCTCACCAGGCGAGAACATCTTTTTCTTTTCCACCTTTCCGTATTTATCTTAACACAACATTCTCCATGTTTGGTTAATTTTTAACGAAGTAACTTAAAAACGTCTTAGTCTGTGTTTGAACACTGGACACCACAATATTTGGAGATAGGAAGGTAAGACTCTGAAACACCCATCTAAGGAAAGCAAGAGATGGTGAGATGAGTTTCCCTATATCTCATCAGTTCCCAGCTGTCTGACTCTAGGTAACAGCTCTTCTTCCCATTTCAAAAAGACACTGGAGCTATATATTCTGTGTGCTCAAATACTTTTATCTATGCCTTTCTGCTACAGCTAACTTATTCTGCTCTGATTATTGAAGGCCTTTCTCCTGGTGGTGACTTCTCTCACTTTTATCACATTGTTGTGAGAATAATTTTTAAAGAACAATTTTGATTGCATTACTATCTTGCTAAAAACTACACCTTGAAGACACTGGGAGACATTAGAGCACCCAAAAGCCTGCAACATGACTGACAGGCTTAAATGATTTGAACCCTCAAAACCTGGGTGATCAGCAAGATTCTGCTATTTCTATTGTAAGAAATAAGAGGGTAGCCTCGTGGGGCAATGGTAGTGGGGTAGACAGGTTTAAGATTAGTACTGCAATAAAACATCTCTAAATAGGACAGGAATATGGCAAAACATGGTTTTAAGAAAGAAGAGCTGGACAATTAAAAAAGCAGTTATGAATGACCAATAGACACATGAAAAAATGTTCAACATCTCTGGCCATAAAAGAAATGCAAATCAAAATAATATTGAGATTCTACCTTGCTCCGGTTAGAATGGCCATTGTCAAGAAAACTAACAACACCAGATGCTGGCAGGAATGTGGCCAAAAAGGAACACTACTATATTGTTGGTAGGAATAGAAACTTGTTCAACCACTCTGGAAAGCAGTATGGAAGTTCTTCAAAAGACTAATCAGAGAGTTTCTTTTTTGCCCCAGAAAATCTACATCTGGGCATTTATCCAATAGACCACAAACAAGGCCACACTAGAGCTACCAACACAACCATGTTCATTGCAGCATTCTTTACCATAGTCAAGATAATAAAGTCAACCCAGATGCCCTTAAGTGGATGAACACATCAAAAAAATGTGATATATATATATATATATATATATATATATATATATATATACAATAGAATTTTATGTTTCCATTAGAAAGACTGAAGTACAATTTGTAAAGATATAGAAAGACCTGGAAAAAAATTATATTAAGCAAAGTAAGCCAGACCCATAGAAACACAGGTTGTATGATTTCCCTCATTTGTTATAACTAGAATGCATCTATAAATCTTTAAGGAAATATAATGAATGGTAAAGGACATGAAAAATTATACAGGACTCTAGACATTTACTCAGTGAGACGAAGGATATTCTTAGGAGAGGATCATAAAGGCTAAATAGCTATGGACATATGAACATATAAAATGATATGTATTAAAATGAACTCCAAGAAATGGAAACACAAGTTTTTTGTTGTTTTTTATTGTTTTATTTTCTCCTTGTCACTGCTTTTTGATTTCTGTACCTTCTGTCTTGTATGTAAGTTTATCTGTTTTGGGGAGCACAGATATGGTGGGACAAAGAGTGTACAAATGCAGCGGTGATACTCACTAGACTCTCTGTAGAAAAAAACTATACAACTTGTGAGGGGGGTCAGGAGGGAAAAACTGGGAGAAAGCGAGGGCAGGGGAGACTTACGTAATTGTAACTCCTCTGTATATTACTTTCATAATAACAATAAAAAGTAAATATGTAAATATGCCTGGTTTAATTTACCTTTGATTAGCCTAGAATGGAGAATGTTGCTGGTGACATAGCTCAGTGATAGAGAACTTATCTAGAATGGGTAAGGCTGTGGGTTTGATTCCCAGCCCCACAACACTTCCCCAAACCCACAAATCCAAATGTTCCATTCAGTTCTACTCTGAGTATAGAAGAAGGCCCTATCTACCGCACTGTGACCAATGAATATTGAAAATATTTTTATACAGCTAGCACCAAATATAGTCAATGATAAGTAAAATTAACTAATGAGCAGATGGAAGAAAACCTTGCTAGGAAGCTAGGCTATAACCCAACATTGGCTAGTCAAAAATTACACGAGTAAACATAAGCCCAGTACATTGCACTACCCTACTGTACAATAGCCCTAACTGGACAAAGGATCCCATCTGCCCTCAAGATATTATGTACTCCTGAATAAAATTATAAATATTATTAAGATTATATTTTTTTCCAAGTGAAAAGTCTGTCACAGTGAGTTACCTGAGATAATTTCGTTGTAGTGGCAGGCAGAAGTGGGCGGCTGAACTTCTTTTGAGACCCAATGGCTGCTGGAAATGGTGGTGCAGAAAATACTGCTGCAGTACAATTAATTTTGTTTATCCATCCTTGCATCTCCTCAGGACTCCTGGGAAAGAAAGACATAGTCATATTAGAGTATTTACATATACAAGTGCATCACCCTTTGCCTACTTCTTATTACTGATTAAAACCCATAAGAAAGCTTCTCCAGAGAATTCTCAATTGTAATCACTGAAACAGTACAAGGTCTACAATCCATGCTGATCATAGTGTAAGATTGGGATCAGCTTCCTAGGCTAAAATGGGTAAAAAAGAGAAGCATATTTATTAAACCTTTTTCTGTTCAATACTAGGCTAGGTCAAAAATCAATTCATTTCTTTTAACCAACTAATTTTATGCTGGAACCTAGCTGAGGAATGCATGGATACAGGGATTATAAAAAAATATGCTCACTATAGAAAACAATTTGATGGCTTCTTCAAAAATTAACTCTAGATTAGTCTACAACCTAGCAATTCTTAAAGAAATACCCAGAAAGAAAAAAAGGCTTGTAAGCACACAAAGATCTGTATGGCTATAAGACATCTTTATTTCTAAAAATCAAAAAGGGGGAAACAACTGGGCAGTCTATCAATTAGCAAATGGATAAAAAAATTTTATACCCACACAATCAAATTGTATTCTCCAATAAAATAAATCAAAGAAGCCAGGAACAAAAAAAGCATGTTCTGTGTGATTCCACTTATATAAGAGGTTCATAGAAAGCAATGCTAAAGAGACAGAAAGTAGACAGTGGGGGCCTAGTTTGAACTGATGGCAAAACAAGGGAATCTTCTGGAATGATGGAAATGTTCCAAAAGTGGATGTAGTAAATTTGGAAATTTACAAAAAGCACAGAAGTAGGTAAGTTTTCGTTATGCTTTATATAAAGTACAAAACTGTTAGAAAAAATACAAAGCCTGATATGGAAATCATCTGATGGCATGGTCATACTTTGATGTGTAATTATATCCCCCAACCCATTTCATAATTTCATAAAATGAGTGTTTAAATAGTCACAAACTAGAAAAGATGATCTACCATACATATGGTTACTAAACAAGAGGTGAAAAATATCAGCCTAATCTAAACCTTACTACCCTGATACCACAAGACACCAGCTCCTCACTGCACCTAGGGGCCTCTTAGTTTCATTTCTCCAGCTCAGTTATTTCCTGACTGCCTTTTTCACTAGTTCTAACTAAAGTAGTTACATCTCTCTAGGTATTATATCAGGTATTTTAAAATTTGAAAATATTAGGGGATAGTATAATCTAAAAGACTTTGACTAATAGCTGCAATCATGCATCTGGCAGTGTGTCCCTTTGAGGGTTACCTATTCTACCCCATGCTCACCCCTACTCCACAGTAACTTGTTTGCTTATATCACCTCATGTCAGCAAATTCATACCTTCAAAGTATCTGTAAATTTCCAGAGTGGAAGATTTTGTCTTTTGTTGTTGTTGGTGGTGGTGGTCATAGGTTTTGAACTCAGGGCATTGTTGATGAGCTTATTTGCTCAAGGCAAGTGCTTGACCCCTTTCAGCCACGGCTCTACTTACTGTTTTTTGGTGGCTGACTGGTGATGAGAGTCTCGTGGACTTTCCTGCCTGGACTGGCTTTGGACTGTGATCCTGATTCTCAGATCTCAGGCTCCTGAGTAGCTAGGATTACAGGTGTGAGCCACCAGTGCCTGGCCATCATTTTTTCACCTCCATTGTTTTGATTACCAAGCAGAAAGATATCTGAATTCATCACTTTAATATCAAATTTTAAATTCACTGTCACTTGGGGTCACTTCAAAAGTGCAGTGCTGTGGGTGATTCAGAGGTGAGGTCCAATCATGCTCAAGTAGTTTCCTAGCGAAAATTCAAAGCTCTTTACAAGTCCAGAATTCCTCCTGTGAAATGTTCTGTCTAATCTGAGATCAGTCTCCAGACCTCTTACTAGACAATGTGATTTCATCTTTTGTTTCTAGAATAATCATAGACTATCAGAGCTCAGAGAGAAATGAGAGTAAGATAAAAATTTACACTTACTAAAGAGCTTCTACCTTCCAGACATTGTGGGAGGTGCTTCACGTATTATCTCATTTAACTGTTACCAGACCCCTCTGAAATAAACATTTTCACCACCAGAGCGGTCAGAACTGGTTTGACCAGGTTGGAAAATTACATGCTAGGAGAAAGAGCTAGGCAAGGGTAATCTGAACCCAGGCCTGTTTTACTCATTTTGTGAGAGTATTTGTCTACTAAAGCATTCATATTTTATTGATAAGGACAGCCAGTTCTAGAAAAACACAGCTGTTTTATATCAGACAACATCCTTGAGCCCAAGGAGTCTACTTCTTATAATAATCTTTGTATAGTGATTTCTAAAGTGTAACAAGTTAATGACTTGTCTTCAATTTTTAAAAATGTCCCTACAGAGTCTGATTCTATTACTAACAGAGTGTTAATCAAATTAACATTTAAGAAAAAGGAAAAAGAAGTATACCAACAAACATACTGGGTTTGGAAGAGCAGGACCCTCCAGTCGGCAGTTTTGAGCTTAAACACATTGGGCTTCTTCTCATAGTCGGTGGCCTTGGAAGCCAGGGCGTGGTGCACACTCACAGCGTTCTTCAAGTCCTCCTCAGACAAGGCTTTCTCTGGCTTGTATTCATCCTACAGATGACACCAAGACAACAAATGATGCTTCATTGATCAGATTTCAACAAATTCTCTTTTGAAAACCTAAAACTTATGGGAAAGGTTTTTAAACACCCATAAACCAAATTTGACTATTATTTCTGGGACTATTAGAAGCAAAAAAGACTCTAAAACCAGTGTATGTACACTACTGATGTACTATATTTTCGTTAAACAACAACAACAACAAACAAGAAAGGATGTTAAAAACTCCTCTTTCTCCTATAAAGAGAACACATTCAGCCAGGCTTAAGCCTGTAAAACCAAAATCCAGAGATTTGCAGTTTGAAACCTGCCTGGGAAGACTACATTGCCAAAATGAAAGCAAAAGCAGTGCTGGGGGTGTGGTTCAAATGGTAGAATTCAAACACTAGTACTGCCAACAATATAAGAATACAGACCTACACATACACACACACACACACACACACACACACACACATATGCACACACACACACACACACCCCAGTAGAATGTTCTGTTATTGCATTGTAAATTGACAATTACTTCCCCTTCTCTCCACCAACACATCTGCCAATCAAGCAATTCAAATGTACCACTGCCACGAATTCAAACTGAGTGAAAAATAAGCGACAGGCTTATGATCACTTTAATGATCACTGTCAGCATCAGTCCTGAGAGGCAAAAGCCTCTGAAATACAAAGTAAGCACCAGCGGCCATGTAAAGATCACCCGAATATACAGAGTTAAGTGGCCAAGTTTCTCTATTGGAATTGCAAGTCTGATTTTTTCTAACTGCCAGAGGCTTATAAACTACTCTTGACAATGACAGTCTTCTACAGAGGGATGACAAACAGAGGAGAATAAAAGAAATTACAAAAAATGATTACACAAATTTGTTCCAGTATTGGTCCCATCAAGTCACACAATTTTAAATCAAGTTATGTTGTGAGGTCTTAATCTTGTCCTTTATAAAGTATTTCTCTTTTAGTGATTATTTAGTACTCTAAAGAGTCATGGTTCCTTCCAGGTTCTTTTTTTCTTTCTTTTTAAAAAATGAGAGCAGATATTTCAAGTAAATGGACATGACTACGAAATTCTACCCAGCCTTAGGTTACGCTACCATAGAACTCTGCAGGTCTGCCCTCCATTCAACATAATTTAGTTTCCAGATAGAAATCTGAGATAGGTAAAAAATGGAGGAAAGAAATGTACAATGCTGGAAATTACTTCCAGACAGTTTATATGCTGCCTCCCTTTCCAAATATAGGATGCCTGGAACACCTGATACTTGATTGTTATTTTTATTTTTTGTAGAGACTGGCTTAGAAACATGTAAGTGCCTTTTTGATATTCTAGGTCCACGATTCAGACTTTTCTCTTTTATCTTTTTGTGGTACTGGGATTTGAACTCAGAGCCCCACAGTTACTGAGGGCTCTACCACCTGAGACACACATCTAACACTTTTTGCTTTCATTTCTTTTTAAACAGCGCTTAATGCTTTTGTTCAGAACTAATCTTAAGCCCAGTACTCCTACTTTATCTTCTTCTGTGTGTAGCCGGGAGTATAATGTGCATCCCCTTACCCAGCTCTTATCTGAAAGAATCTCAACAACTTAAACCTTACCACTTGGAGCCACTATAAATATTCATGGTGCGTATTCTCAGGTAAAACTAAGATTAAAGAATATCAATTTTAGGCTGGTTTAGAACCATAAAGAATTTAGAATAAAATACTTCTACAGGCCTATGAAAAGGATGACCACAGTTACCCTTCGCTATGGTTCAAACATGGCTTCTGAGTTTCATCCTCTTAGTTGTAAGTTAATAGTATTGAGAAGATGGAAACTGAACCTACCATAATGTTGAGAAGTGGGGCTCATGTGAAGTGATTAATAATGTAATCATTAGATGTAGAATTTATGAGATTACACACACACATGCTATGTGACATGGTCCCACAGCTTCTACTTTTCTAGATATTAATAATTAGTTTTCTGGTAGAGCCATCACCTTTTTTTTTTGCCAATCATGGGGTTTGAACTCAAAGCCTGGGCACTGTCCCTGAGCCTCTCTGTGCTCAAGGCTAGTGCTCTACCACTTGAGCCACACTGCCACTTAAAGCTTTTTCTGAATAGTTTATTGGAGATAAGAGTCTCATAACTTTTCCTGCCAGGACTGGAAACCCTGATCCTCACATCTCAGCCTCCTGAGTAGCTAGGTTTACAGGCATAAGCCACTGGTACCTGGTTCATTTCACCAATTTTAAAGGCAAAACATAAACAATGAAATATATTCAGCATTTTAAATTTCTACTAGAAAACAAAGCACAAACTGTATTATTAAAAAAAGCAACTAGGTAGAGAGGGAACATTAGGAAACATCGAGAACTGACTAAAAGTAAATGACTTCATCTATGGAGTTACTTATGACTTCTTTATTTTTTAGGACTTCAAATAGAGGATAGTATTTAAACGATGGGATCAGGAAGGAAATAAGGTTCAAATTACCATAATCAAGCCATTTCAAACCTGAGACTATTTTCTTGGAAATTAAATATGGAACAGAGAGCAAGACAAACCCAATCAAGACATTTTCTGTAAGAAAAGAAAATGCTCTCTGACATCAATTACTATTCATTTTTCTCAAACAAACTAAGGGTGAAAATGACACCAAGAAACATGTTACTGTCCCATGTTCCCTGCAATCCATGTCTCCCCATTTGGTATGATTCATTACAGCACTCTCCCATCCTAGTCATTTCACAGTGCTATTTATTTTAAATTCATTTAAACCAAGGCATGAAAAGCTTTTCTTCCCACGATGTTTGTTAATTAAACCTCTTGTGAAGCTCAATCATAACACTCTAACACAAAAATCACCCAAGTATGCACAAATAATTGGCATCAAGCTTGAAAATTTGTATTCACAAGTGAATATAAAATAATTTGCAAAATGACCAAATCTCAATGGAGACTCATCAGCATCAATTAAAAACATACTCAGATTCTTCTTCCAAATATTATTTAATTAATTTCTTACTAATTAATATTGTTACATATAGTTAAATACATATAATCTATATTACATATACATATTATCTATCTATCTATCTAAGTTGAAACAGCTTTCTACAGGAAGAATGTAGTAAGGAAATCTGAGAATCTCCTCTTAGAAAAGTAACTGGTTCCCAAACTGGTCTCAAGTGGTGATCTTAAATGTGGCATTTAAAAAAGTGTTTTTGTTTTTTTTATAATTTGATTCCTATGTTTCTGATTCTTTCTAAAAAGAATTCAGTTTCATCCTTCTGTTTTTACCAGCAACCAAAGTGTTATGTTTCCAAAAGTCTGGAAGCTTGGAGTTGCAAGCAGCAAGTCAAAGGAAAACATGTTTTGGTTCATCACTCCACTAAGCATCTATTTACAACTCACAGCAATCAGCTTTTAAAGCTGAAACAAGTTTAGAGTTTCACTTGATTTTCTCATATTATATAAATTATGTTCTAGTCAGAAAGATGTGTCCTTCGTTGCTGTGGAGGGGAGAATTAAGACAGAATAAGCCAAAGAAGCTAAAGGAGTCATAACTGTCACATGAAAGAGCATGCACATAGCACTATATTCCACACTGAAATGATGTGGTAGTCCTAGCTTGTAAAAGGACTCATGAATTGTTGGCACTGAACCTTCCTCAGCCCACTGACAGTGCATTAGCAGATGAACTAGGGCTTGAAGTGCTCTCTTGGCAAGCTGCAGCTTCTGAGAGAGGCACAAGAAATTTTCCATGATAAATCTGACAAGTGAATCCGATTACCATCAACATCCCTTGCAAAAAATGACAAGATTCCTTAATTCAATAGTTGAGGAAACTTAAGTCTTAAGAAAAAAAACTTTTTTTAAAAAAGCAGAAATATTCCTCAACATTCATTCTTGCACATTTCTTCTATTTTTCTAATTACAACCACAATTAGGATGATAGGGGGCTACTTGCTCTGAGAAAGGCCTTGCTTGTGTAATTGTGACCACGTCGTCTTGTCTGGGACTCTCATCTCAGTTCCGTGTGAGGACCAGGTCAGGGTTTAACTCATGTTTCCCTCTGTGACTTCCACATGCATGGGGTGGGAATAATAATTATTGAAAGGATGGAGGGGGTGAAGAAATGAGAAGAGGAAAGAGGAAGAAGAGGAAAAAGGAAGGCAAGGAAATTGAGAGAGGAAGAAAGAAGAGGAAAAAAAGGGAGGCAGACATGAAGGGAAGGAGGGAAAAGGAGCAGGAAGAAAGCACTGCCAGTGACCTACACAGAAGAAGAACAAAGAAAGAGCTGAGTTTTTGACCCATCTCACATTTGATTAGCTGGGAAGAAGCAACAAACCACTGCATCAGTTGTGACTTCATTTTGTTTCTAAACTGACTGTGGTACAGGTTCTCCTCTAGTTTTGCTTATTTTTTCCAGCCCCAGCTAGTAATTCCTCTGTTCTTTTATGCGAAGCCACAATACCCACACACTGACAGATTCCTAAGCAAAATTTTACACCCTGGTCAGCATGCTGAGCAAACACACATAGAACCTGTACTACCCTCCCCGGGCCCAGCTTCCTACCGTGCTTCCTCCTTCCCCAGGTCTGGCCCTTCAAAAAAAAAACCCCAAAGGCTCCAATTATCCTATTGGACTGATGCTGCCTGTGCTGTCTGGTCCTTTTCCTTTCCTAGAAACCTTTACTTTCTCATCTGTCATACTAACTCTTGGTGAATACTTTGATTCTCCACACATGGGCAAAAGCCTTCAGACCTAAAACTGCTCAGAGACAAAAGTCCCTCTATCCTGACCCCAGTAAAGAACCAGTTTCTGTGGTCTAGGCATTCAAACTATAATCATGTTTTTCAACAGAATCTTTCAGAGTACCACAGCCTAAAGGCTTTATACCCACAGAAACTAGGTGTGTGCTACCAGTAATATCTTTCTATGAATATATGGTTTTTAAAAATTATGATTGTGTCCTAAATATCTCTTCCACAA